TTTAGTTTTTTTTTGTCAACAGTGTTATTTGTATTAAATTTTAAATACCTATTGACAATTAACAGCTGACAATTCAGTCTTGAACCGCTTTTAAAGTGTTTACACAATGATTAAAAGTGATGGTTCTTACTAAAAGTGATTTTAGTAAGCTAAATATGCTCTTAAGCAAAATTCAGTTTATTTCAGGTATTTACGCGATCTTGAAATAGATTATAAAAGCCTTAAAGGCTCTTATGCCTCGGGTAAACGGGGCATATAAAGGCAAAATAATGCCTTTATGAATATTTACTAATTATATACTAAAAATCGATGAACTTTGCTCCCAGAAGTTGTGATGAAATTAAATCTACGGTATTTAGTAGTTCCTTATCGTTATGCATAGATATACTAGGGGTATTTAGGCAACTGATTAGTTGCATAGCTGATTCAAAAAGTTCATATAAAAAAAATTTAGCATTTTGATGTTAATCAGTTGCTTGAACGACCCAAAATGCGTAATCTGATTAGTTTGTTGTGTGTAAATGCCTTGGCAGCACTCGCATCAACAGCAAAAGTGAAACATACTTGTGTTTGCAAAATTGTTTATACACAATTCGAACAGCTGAGAGAGACAGCTAACAAATTTTTATACTAAAGTTCATTTTAAGTTATTATTACGACACTTGGTACTGGCAGCACTATTAATCAAATTTGTACTAATCTGAGAATCACCGAAATAGTTGATTCTCTGCTTAGTTTCACTTTTGTGTGTAAATTTTTGTTGTAATCAACTACGAAGCAACTAATCAGTTGCCTGAATACCCCTACTGTAAATATATGATTTAGCAAGTTAAAATTTAGCATGCTAAATGTCGAGTTTATTTAGTATGTTTAACATATTGTAATAAACTAAAGATTAAGTAAAACCGTGAAGAATCTCAATATGTTTAGAACATTGTGCATCATTTTCGAGTTAAATGCGAGAAGAAACATGTTAAATATAAAATCATATGATGAAGGACCACAGCAATTTTAAGTCCTTTTTGATTATAACATACATTACATAGAGCCTCACATCATAGTTGTTAATTTATTGAATATTTATTGTGTGTATATTTGCTTTGAAAAAATTGTGACATCTATTACTGAACCACGCTTTTTTGACTAATGCGATGTGGTATAGAAATCGTTGTCACCGTGATGGAAATTTATTCCAAATTTCCCTGCTTCACTCATTTTTAAATTTTTAATTAACATAGAAAACAATAACAATTTCACATTTGACATAACCATAACTGTCTGTATAACATAGCTCTAAGCGTGTGGGGTTTAGGTATATTTTTTATTGTGCATTATTTGCGATATAATTACATTGGCTTAATTTACTCTAGGCTGTATCAAAAAACTTCAACTTGATAGTTTTGATTGACAGAATCAAAATAAATTTTAAACAGAAATATAACCACAGTTTCTAATTGTTAAATATTAAATTAATTAAAATAAATAATAAAAGCTTTACGAGCTTCAACACGATAATGACACTATTCAGCAAATTAACATTCAGTGGCTTAGTGGCTTGATCGTGTCGTGAAGATGGATAGACATATTCTACCGAAAAAGATGTTTGAAGCGCCAGATAGAGGAAGAGAATATAAGCACAAACCGTGTTATTGATAGATTGATAAAGTTGAAAAAGCACTAACCACTCTTGATATACGGGGCTAAGAATCTGCCAACACAAAAGAGACCTCTGTTGCTCAGACAAAAACTTGGAAACGAATTGTTATGACCAAATAAGTAAAAAGCTTTTATAATCAAAATTAATTGTTCGTTTTTCTTTAAAATTAACTTTAATTTCGCATTATATTTTGTTTTAAACAAACCTGGAACAGCTTTTTGATCATTTGGAGCGTCCCGAGGCAGTATTTATTAAAAAAATTACTTTAAAAAATTGATATACCATTAACTCACACCTCTTCGCATAGATTTTGTGTAGTTTGTGTAACAAATATTACTAACTCCAACACACTTATTCAGATAAGAGCGAAAATCAGTTAAATGTGATAGTGTGAACGTATTTTTAATTATTTCAAAATCACTTTAGTTTTTTTGACAAAATATACTAATTTTTTACTAGTTTTATATGAAATACTTCTTTAAATTATTTATTATTTATTTATTTAGAAGGCGCGAATAATATTTAAATATTTTAAACATGGACTCACAGATAATAAGTCTATTAAATTTTGTTTTTAGTTTTTATCTAATTTTAGTTTGAAATAAATTATATTTTTTTACTTCTTTATACACTCTTTTATATTATTAGATTTAAAATATTTATTTACTCATACTTTAAATATTGCAGCAAAGGTATATAAACGTCTAGTTGATGTCCTTTGCAACTATTGAAAAAGTTTTATAAAGTACCGCATAACCTCTTCCATTCAGTAATTTGTGTGCGTTTGTCTCTATCCTTACTCTTCTCCTCTCCTCTGCAATTTAAAACTATTTTTCGTAGAAAGTCTTTTCATAAGGATAATTGGTCCAAACCAATTTCAATTTAAAATAATTTCTCCTATGGCAACATGCTGTGCACATCCAAATAATTAGCTTTAGTTTCTACTGACCCATTTTTTGTGGGTGCTAAGTTGTGCAAATAAAAGAACTAAAATGTTGCTTTGCACACACAATAAAACTAAAATTCTGTGGCAAATGAAGGAAGCACGGATCTCCAGAGAAAAAATATAACTTAAAGCTAAGTTACTAAATATTGCTGTGTGAATAAATAAAAAATAATTGAATGTTCTGTTTATAAAAAATGTTTTTTAAATAATTAAGACAAATTACTTAATAATCAAATTTATGCAAATTTATTATAATTTAATTAATTTAAAAATTTTGGAAACTGCAAATGTGGCAATTAAAAGGCGTCTTGATGAATTGGTCGTACAACTTGTCCGACATCGCTTGGTATTACATACCCGACACAGTCGACATTATTTTGAAGGCGACCCTAACAAAAAAAATAAACATAATAAAATCATGCCAGCATTTAAACGATGTTTTCGCTTCCTTTAAAATATAATGAAGTTTTGTATGTAAGCCAACAAAAATTCGATTGTATACGAGAAAACACGAGCAATTTTGATAGAAATCAAAATATTTTGATTTCCACCCGACTTGTCGTCAGACCTGCAAATATAGCTATTATACATCAGATTTGACACAAATTTCACAATTCAACAGAGAAGTTATACGACCAAATCTGATGTGACATACGCTCTTCAGGTGTATTCTTTTGACATGAATGCTCCAATGGAGCACGTTTTACTTAAAAATTAACATGTAAAGCAAAAACATAATCTGTAAGAATAATTCCACTTCCCTGAAAGGGTTTAACGAATATGTTCCTCGCATTACAATTATATCAAATGATTAAACTGATCTATTTTAAATGATTTTTGGAAAAAAATAGTAAAGTTCAGTCAGCTGTTAACTATTTACAGCTGTTGCATGTGTTAATAAATAAACTTAAATATTTTAAAAAAGTAATTTTTTTAATAAAATTTGTGAAGATGACTGACTTGTCATAATTGTGATTGTGAAGAAGTCATTCGTTAATCAAGTCATTCGTTCTAGAAATTTATATTACCTTTATAGCACCTATTTATATATTTAAAAAATTCTTACATATTCTGATAAATTTGAGTTAATTCGTACACTTCGTTTTTACTTTTTTTAAAACACAATTATTAGAAGGTAAAAGGTAAATTATTTAATCGAGATTCACTTTAAATACAGTTTTTATGTTCAATTATTTTCCATCTCTAGCGATTTGTATGAGTCGAGATTAATTTCTATCACATTAGACAAATCGTAAGAGTAGCAAGATTGTCCTGAAATTGACAGCTTTTTTAATGAATCGGACTCTCAGGAAGATATGCTGATTCAAGGTCCATCATCATCTAAAAGACAAATAAATGATATGATTTTTTTTTTTAGCCTAGTCAAAGCCTAGTGTGGGGTAGAGATAAGCCCCCAAGCCATTATAGAGTAAAAGTGCGTAATAACACTAACTCAAGAAGAAGAAGAATCAAGAATCAAGACAAATAAAGTGTGATTTCATTTCTTATATGTATTTATGAAAAATACAAATATTTACTAACACTACTACAAACATGTTAGATTACTCTAAAAATATTCGAATCGCCAACAAAATTTAATAGATCGAGAGTATACAACTCCGACTTCAAAAAAAATCAAAAAAACATAGCTTTGTTTCAACATTGTAAACAACTTAAGCCAGATTTTTAAATATAATAACACTTGACATATGAAAATCATGAGCTACGCATTTTACTTCTAAAAGTTTATACGAGGGTGGTTTGATAAGTCAGTTACTCCAAATGCAACAGTGCTGCCGTCAGCTATAATCTAATAGTGGCCAAAGTTTTAATTTTGAGCAAGCTACGTTGTTCAGTTGGTGTTTATCAAACCACCCTCGTAATACATTTTAATATATATAAAATGATACTTTACTATTCTTATAAATTTAATAATACATATTTTCTTTATCTAATAGTAATAGGAGTAATAATAGTAATAGGAAATAACACAAATTCCAATAGGTAAGGGGAATATTTTATTCTATTTATGTATTCTATGTATTCTATTTAGAAGTATTCTACTTAGAATATTACTCTTACCTATTGGAATTTGGATTATTTTCCTGCAGGAGCATTTTCTCATTTTAGCATGAGTCAAAATGTTTGCTTTGAGTAATATGATTAATAATATTATTAAAAGTAATGTGCTTAAAATTTTTCAATTTTTATAAAAAAATTTATTATTTCAGCAATATATTTAAATTTGATCAAAATTGACACAGAACTTTTAATATTTAAACCCATTTAACAATCCTGTTTCCTCTCCAATAGCTCAAGCTAACAATAATTGTCATCTTTGACAATAATTGTCAGCTTGATGCACATTGCTTTGACTCAGTCGAGAAAGTAGAGCAAGGCAAGAAACGGGTGAGGACAGGTCGCTCCTTGTTTTATTTCAAAAGGAATTTAAATTTAAAAATTTTAAAAAATAATAATTAGATTTATACTAATAACCAATAATTCAGAAAGGTAAGTTCATTTAATTCATTGTTCATGGCTATTCCAAAACAATATCGCAAATTTGATTGTTTTTATTTAAGAAATAATTTATTGCGTGTGTTTGACTTCATGGGAAACAATTTTTACTTTTTTTTTGTTCAAAAGTTCTTAATTCATGGAATTCATTTTATTTATTTATTTTTTTTTGTTTTTAGCTAAAATGATAAATACAGACTCTGAAGACGCTACAAAAAAATGCCCCACAACAAACCAAGCTCTCTATGAGCTGCCTGACAACATTAATTACCAACTATCACCAATCACGAGCATGGCAGAGCGAAGGGCTTTAAAGTCAAAATTTGATCGTATTTATGAAAGATATAATAATTTATTGCAAGAAATCACATCTGCAAACTTACGTTTCAGACAACTATGTGATCAACTTGATTACACACCTAAAAATACTGGAGCTTATGAAAAACTCAAGAAAGATGTCGAAATTGAATATTGTAAGCTGACAAATGACAAGGCACTTCAAGATAAAATGACTTATTTTAAATTCTTACACAATGAATTAACGGAGATCAAAGAAGTGGTCATTAATTACGATAACAAAGTTTTGGCCAACTTGAAGTTGTAAACGACAGTAAACTAAACTCAACATTTTAAATTTAATAATTGCTATAAATTTAATTACTGTTATAATTATTTAATAATTACTTTAATTAACGTTAATTACTGATAATAGTTATATATTGTATTATAGAATAATTACTATATATACGATGAAGAAACAAGGAATAGATAAACACTCAAGACAAAACACATAATTAGAACTCGGTTTTTATTTTACGGTGAAACACTGCTTTCAATGTTTTCTATACAGATGAAATATGTACATTATTATTTAATTGAATCATTCGTCCACAAAGAGGGATCCTATTTGTGGTTTATAGTCTAACGGCACCAAGTGACGCCACAACGTTCATTATCCAATTTTTATATCGAAGTTACAGATATCTTTTACTACGTTTTCTATTAAGCAACACCGACTTAATATCTTTCTAGCCACAACATTTTCTGAAACTTTTTATCATCTTCAACACGCATTCTTCGACCTTACCATTACCGGTAGATATTTTACGCAAAGTTATGAACATTTCTGAAGTTATACCACAAACCATCTCCGTGTTTTGGACTGGTTTACAAAGTTTAGGCTTCTGGTTAAGACTAATTCATTCATTTCGCACGGTCCAAAACTCGTTGCCATATAATGAATTTTGATTCAGATATTATCAAACTATTTGCGTCATGTGTTCTAATTTAAGTAGCAATTTTTTTAATCAAATTTGCTTTCATATTAGATGATAAAGCTTAGAAGTTGACTGATCTATATAAGCTCTATAACTCGTGATGGTAACCATTACCAGGGAATAATGTGGATTGAATTCTTTAAGGCCTTGGCATGGTCACGATAATTTCAATTTGTTTTTGTTTTCGATGTAAATTAAAACTTTGAGAATAAGTGAAAGAGAAATATCGACTTAATTTTCATCAAGATGAAGAAGTTTTCTGTACCTCGTGTGGCAAGTTGATTAAAACAGTGTTGCTTCGCATAAATGTTAGAATTTGCCTCTGTTGGGAGTAAATATTTGTATATTTGTGAAAATATGTAAACATATTCACAAAAATATAACTACCGTTTCAATTTTGACACAAAAATAAAGGAATAAATGACATGATTCTCTGGTCATGTCCAAAAATAATACAAAACTGCAGGCCATTCATGATATGATTGTCTGTATAGCATGGCTTCAAGAGTAAAAAATAAATTTTTATTGGACATTTGACACACTATCATTTAAATTATTTGGTCAAGGAGACGATTAGGGCATTTGGGACACATTTTCAAAATAGTTGTTGGTTTTCTATTGATAGTAATACCAGCAAACTTTTAATAATAAAATTAATCGTTAACAGAATTTCTATCGTATTAGAAACTATATTTGGAACCACATGAAAACATTAATTTGACAATTTCGCAAAAGTTCCGCATGTACTTAACTCACATTCAACTGATTATTTGTTTTGGAACAAGTAGAACTTTAACGATTGCTCTTTTGCTCCGAATAGAGAAATAGAGTTACTAGATATGCCTAGATTTTCACTAAGGAGACAACTATGTCCAAACGTATAATTTCAATTGGTACCGGTGGAATTTCTCGGAATTGCATTGGAGCGTTTAGCGACGCAATATACCGATACGTTTGTTAAGCCTTCACGGCAGGTAATCACGTAAAATAATTCTGGACTTCTTCCAAATAGTAGATATGTATCCACTTCATATAAACTAATATATTTGGAAATGTAACCAATTTATATATAATTTTCATATATATTTTTTTGCGCAATATGTGTATAGGTGATTTTGCTTCACATTTCTTACAAGCATATAAAAAAGAGTTACTTAATCCTTACGTTATTTGCAACTGACGCATGTGTGTTGCAGCTTCTGCTGCACCGAAAGCTATTTAAGCAGTTTTGATGCTTCGTTTCAGCTTTCCTTCCTGTTTCTGTCTACGCTACGTAAATAATTCTTGGCAGCAGGTGCATTACCTGCACATCTTAATGATATTTTCTATTTACGGTTGAGTTCCTCCTGTAGTTTGTACGAAAAACTTTATAATTTTTATTGCACGGAATACAGAGGCTCATAGTTGAAAATTTCAAACAGACTAAAGTGTCTCATAGAGTTTTTCCTATGCTCAAAATTATACAACAACAACATTTTAATCCTACAGTCTATGTTACCTACATTTTAGCCACAGACAAACGATGAAGTGGGGATTTAACCTTTGTTACTAAGCATATCTATGACTTTGTTGCAGCTGCTCGCTATTCTCTATTCACTAACGTTGCTTCCTACTCGCTATTCGCTACTCGTCGCTTGCTGCACACAGTAAACTTTCAGTGTTGCACTTGTGGCATCATTCACTGAAGACTTGTGTGCACTAAGCACAACTGGTACAAATATCTTCTGTGAGTTTTTGTTTGTTTATTTGGTTTGTTAAATGTCAGAAATTGTTGACAAAAAACTTAGCGAGTAGTGGGGATCCGCACCTGCACCAGCACTTTTACCAACATTGGCATTAGCATCAGTATTAGTAGAAACAGCAACAATTCCAACAGCTCCTGATTGCAGGTGTTGAGTAATCATATTTACGAAAGCGTTCACAAAATTTCAGACATTACAGAATATATATTTCTGCGCTACTTAATTATTAAATACGCAACAGCTGTTAAGTATTTCACGAAATCATACAGGCTCATATATAAAAATGTAAACGTCTAAGGATGTGCACATTGCACTGCCGCCAGCGTTAATGCCTTAATTAAGGCTTTCCGGTCTTATTTTAAAATGGCTGTGTGCACACACCACGCAAGCTCACTTACCACAATCTTTACTATATTCGCAGGATGTGTAAAAAAAATGTCCTTATTTTTTTCACTTTTTTTCTACTATTTTCGTAGCTATTTTGCACGCGTGGTTACTTGCAAATTTCGTCCAAAATTAATCAAATTATTATCTGGCTAAGTTGGTTACTTAAGCAATTTAAATTAAAATACTCGCATAAAAAAGTTAGCATTTGCACTTCGTGCTTAAGGAGATTAAGTGTATTTTACACATCAGTGAAAATTTTAGAAAAGTTCATTCATGAAAATCCCTTTTGAAAAAGGATTATGAATATGAGAAGCGGAAACTTATGCAGGTTGCTTGCTGGCTGCTTAACTCTGCGCAACCGAAACTAATTTCGACTCAACTCAAATTTCGTTTTTGGTCTTGCTTAACACTGGACGAACTCGGTACGTTCCCATCGTATAAATGCTGTGAAAACTGTTTTTACAGTTATTTTAATTTTATAAAAGTTAAATCCTTAAAGGATTATAAATGATTGTTGGAAAATTGCAATGATTGTCTGTTTTTATAGTTTATGTAATATACTCAAGTTGAAGGCATGAATGAGCCAGCCGAATTATGATTTTTTGAAAAGGTTGCAGAATTAGATTTCATATATTTATTAAATAATATAATATATCAGTAACTATATAGTTAAAATTTATGTTAAAATTTAGAAACTTAAAATTTTCTAAATAAATCGCTTCAGTTGAACATATTGTATATTAAATTTCATTTAAAAGTCTATTATAACGCTTTCCTCAATTATTTTCTGAATAGAAACTATCGTTTAAATAGAGATATTTTATGAAAAGTAGTGAATTTGAATAACAAAATTTTAAAATTTTCAAATAGTTGAATTATTGGCCAGCCAAATTCGTAAATAAATTTTTTTTTTGTGATCGCAAGTACCAAGTGTTGAATAGTACTGAAATTTAATCATTTTAAATAATTATAGTTAATTAATTCAATAAATTTTAAATTTGTTTATCGACCCGCATTCTATAATTATTTTAACAAAATAACAAAACTCCAGAAAAATATGCGAACAAAAAAGTCAAGTACGACGTTGGTTAAGGTGCGCTGATTCTGAGCTTAACATTTGGCAGGACCCGAGTTCGATTCCTGGTATTTGCAGTCTCAAAAAAAATAATTATCTACGAATAATTAAATACAAGAATTATTTCCAAGACCACTGATGATGGGTATTTGGCAATACTCGAAACAGCTGTATGGTCAGCCAAAAATTCAATTAATTAAAATAATATAAAAAATAAATTTTTGTTGTTGTATTTCACTACTGTTCGAAAAAACCTCTTTATAATTATTTTATTAAATACAGATCAGTGATACAGATCTTATTAAATACAGATCTATCAAATAGAATGTAATTTGATATTATTAATTATTATTTTTATTAGAACATGCTCCTGAAAATGACTCTCAAAGAGTCATCATCAATAAACAGCAATAAATAGTTTTTAATTAAAACGGTCGTTAATTAATTCAATTATTATATAGTTGGTTTTTGATTTTGTTCTAATATAGCACATCAAGTTAAATTGTTAATCAACTTTTACAGTAAATTAACAAAAATCCGAACAACAAGTCCAAACATACAAGTCAAGCACGACTTTGAGTCAGTTGATTAATTAACACTGACTCTGAGCTTCAAATTTGGCAGGGTGTAAGTTTACCCCTTGGTTGAAATATTTCATATTAAATATAAGGATGTTTTTTTAAATACTAATGATGACTAGTCAAAACAGCTATGTGGGCAGCAAAAATTCAATTGATTAAAAATAATAAAATTTTGTTGTTGTTATTCACTACTGTTCAGAAAACTTCTTTATTAAAAATTGTAGTAATTAAAAATTTAAAGGCAATCAATTTAAAAGAAAAGAAATCCATTTTGTAGAATATTAATAATACTTTTGTTCCATGAGCTACTCGAAGAAAAATTCAATCAAACACGAAAATTTTAGAAAAAGACTCATAAATAATGAAATCTATTATAATAATTAATTTTTACTCCTTAGATTTCTCGGTCTTGGGTATTTTAAAAAGTAAGATTGGGGCTATAAACTACCAAAAAGTCGATCGTCTGAGTTAAGTACTAAACCGAGAATGGGCCAAAATACCGCAGAACCACTTGAGGACTGCGTGCAATTGCTTCATGGTCTCATATTGAACCAAACTAAATTAACTTGAAACTTTAAAGTTC